ATGAAACAAAATTTATGTGCATGCAAGGACCTGGGAAGGAGTAACCTGCCAAAAATCACTTTTTGCGTTCAACGCGCCTTGGTAAATTACCCATAACAACCGTGGCCTTAGGTCTGCCATAAACAGTATAAGTTATTTAATTTCCTTAAACATGCATCTTTCAATATCTGAAAAAAAATCCATGTGCTCGAATGATTAAAAGCCTACAGAAGTCCTAGAAGTAGCCTTATTTCGCCAAATTTTTATCAAAAAAATACCCTAACAAGCTGTTGCTTAGCAACAGCTACTTTACAGCTTTAATAATTAGTATTGTAATTAAAAGTTTTGATATAATACATTTTTATAACGGAACTGTATAAGAACACTTGACATTGTAATTACATTGTAAACATTTTTAATGTAACAAAGTACTTAACAAAAAGTTGAAGTGATGCAGTGACAACAGACTTGTTAAATGTTAATTTGCACTCCTTAATGTTTCTTCTTATGTAACCCAGTAAAAACTTCTAAATATCATGATTGATATCTTATTATGTCAAGTTTTAATTCGATTTCTACTTTTAAAATACTCATTTTTTAAATATTTTTTGTATGATGTATTGTATTCGTTTTGAAATAGCGTTCGACAGCTAAATTTTACATTGAACTTTTATAATAAGTACTCATTTAGAAATAATAGTTTGCTAAATGAACCATTTTGTAGAACAAAGTTTAACAAATTTTTTAAAAATCTGTTTTTAAAAATAATTTTAAAGATTTTATTCTTGCTTTGGATAACATTTTAAGTTACTATCATTTTTAAATAAACCTTGATTTATGAGATTAATATTTATAGATTTGTTTTCTTTGATGTTTAGTAGAACGTTAAAAAGAAATTTGAAAAGTTTAAAATGCAGTTTGAGAAGATATTTGCTGAAGCAATTGCACCTAGTAAATCAGAGGCACTGATTACTCAAGTGTTCTACAATGAGGATGAAGATACTTCACCTCAACTGGTTCCAGAAGACGTTGTTGTACCAGTTAAGATGTTTTAAGAAAGTGATTCTTTAGGACAAATTCTTTTGCTTTCAGTCATTAATCATAACAAGTACATTAATGAATCATTAATGAAAATCTTTGATTTCATAAAACTTCAAAAAGAAAAAGCACGCAAATTGCTAATAGAAAGCAGAAAATTTTCCATACCAAAAAAGGAAAAGGTCAACATATCCTGAATGCCACAGGAAAAAATAGAACTATTTTTGGATTTATGTTTTGCGAGTAAACAAATCTAATTTACACTGAGTTGTTAAATAAAAATAAAGAGCGCTAAGATTTTGCTACCTCTTTTTAATTATATTTTAAAATTAATATATTAACTGACATTAAAAATGAGGCTAAATCGTTAAGTTTTCGGAATTCAAAAAAACGAATTAGCTTTTGCCAGAAAAATATTATCTGTAGTTAAGGGGGCTCACCCCTGTCAAAATAGCAAAAAAATATTTTTTTTTTAAATTTTAGGTTTTTCATGTTTCAAGTGTAAAAATCAACGAGGAATCTGATTCTGAATTAAAATTTTCAAAAAAACAACACATAAGTATGTCTATTTCTTGATTATTTGATCATAGTCAAAAATAATCTATTTAGCAACGTCCATAGCAACGATTTTATTTTTTTCTTTTCCACATATCTACAACTCCTTTTTCTTAAAAGTTAATCATATATGATTAATCTGAGTCTGTGAAGTATTAATTTTTAAAACTGCTTCCATGTAGGTCTGGAAAAGCTTACAAAATGAACTTTTTGATCATGTTAACCACACTGTCACACAACCAAATAAATACACTACACATTGTGTGTCTAACTTTTTATTATAAATTAAATTTTGTTTTGTAGAATATTTAGTGATTATTTTTTTTATTTATAAATAACTTCTTGGCATTTTTAATTGTGGATAAGTATAAAAATAATTATTAGTTTAAAAGAAGAGCTTGATTATCAAGTTGATAATGGAAAAAAATTATGTGGCAAATAAAAATAACAATAACAAATGATAAAATTAAAAGAGTAAAGTTTGCAATTTAAAAAAAAAGAAAAGGAAGTTTAAAGGAAATCAATACACAAACAAAAAACAATTTGTGTCCATGCAATCTGAACTATTGAATCTTATTCCAAGTACTTCAGCATCATTACCAAAAACAAGATCGTTTACTAAGCTGTCAAGCCATGCTATTTCTCAGCCTTTAAATGATGGTATTACTGGAAATCGAACTTTGGATATGTATAATTTATCAAACTTAATTTCAATTCTTGGTTGTCCTCAATGTAAACAAAGTTCATGTTTAAAGCTAAGTGAAAGTTTAAAACATGGATTAGCAAGTAAAATGACTGTAAAATATTCTTGCCAATGGAAGTATTCATTTTGGACATCAAAAAAACTGCCATTTATGTCACGAGGGTTTGATATAAACTACAGAATAGTATACTCAATGCGTAGATGTGGTCAAGGCTTTGCTGGTATTAATCGCTTTAATACACTTATGAATTTTCCACCACCATTTACTTCAAAAAACTTTAACAAAATTGTTTTTAAGTTAAAAAAAAATGTTAAGTTTGTTGCCACTCAAACTATGAAAGATGCAACTCAAGAACTAAAAGAGTTATCCAAAAATCAACCACAAAATAATTTTTATGATGTACCTGTGTCATGTGATGGAACCTGGCAAAGACGAGGATTTTTATCGCTAAATGGAACAGTTAGTTGCATTTCAATGGACACAGGTAAAATTTTGGACGTAGTTCCGATGAGTAGGTATTGTAAAAAATGTGAGAACATTTACAAAATGACAGACTCATTTGAGAAAACTAATTTAGAAATCAATCACCATTGTTCAGCAAATTTTACTGGATCAGCACCAAATATGGAAACAGAAGGCACGAAAATTATTTTTGCAAGATCCACAAAGTCACAAATGAGGTATACAGAATTATATGGAGATGGGGATTCTAAAAGTTTTATTGCAGTGGAAAACATATACAACGGTATAAAAGTTGTAAAGAGAGAATGTATAGGGCATGTGCAAAAGAGAGTAGGAACCCATTTACGAAAACTAAAAAAGGAAACAAAAGGAATAGGTGGAAAAGGAAAACTAACAAATGCAATTATTAATAAGCTTCAGAACTACTATGGCTTGGCTATCAGGCTGCACGTTGGTGATAAACAAGCCATGAAAAAAGGAATTATAAGTGGTTTTTGCCATGTGGCATCTAATAAAATTAACAATCTTCATGTAAATTGTCCAACTGGAAAAAATAGTTGGTGCGGATATCAAAGAGCTGTGGCAAGTAATGAAGTTGACAAGTTTAGGCATGGTCCAGGCTTGCCAACAAATATTGCATTGCGAGTTAGAAAAGTTATAAATGAGTTGACATGTGATTCACTTTTTGACAAGTGCTTACATGGAAAAACACAAAATCAAAATGAGTCATTTAATAATATGGTTTGGGAACGTTTGCCCAAATCAACATTTGTAGGTTTACAACAACTTTCTTTGGGCATCTATGATGCTGTATCTAATTTTAACATTGGAGCTAAAGCTGTTATTAATTTGTATGAAAGACTAAATATGGTTCCAGGTTTTTATACCTATCTTGGATGTGATAAAATCAATACCAAAAGGATTAAAAATTCAATAAATCATAGTGAAGTAAAAAATGTTCTCCGTCGTCGTCAAATTAGAAGACAAAAAAAACAAAAAGATGATAAAAAAAAAACAAAATGAAGGAAAAACCTATAAAGCAGGATTATTTTGAAGTTAATTTTAAAGATGTTTTTATTTTATTTAGTTTTTTTATTCTGGATATGCTGTTTTCTTATTTTTAGTTATATATCGTTTTTTTGACAAAAAATGTTCTTCATGTGATATAGTTTTTTTATATAGAGTTATAGATAATGTAGATGTTGTATTAATTTCTATTATCAAAGCACCTTTTAAATTGATTTTATTAATCTTAGAATCGAAAAGCTTTAAAAAATTACATCTTACTATAACTCTTTTTACAAAATGTTTTACTTTATGCTTATTTTCTCAGATTGCATTTTTTTTGAATTTAATAGAATTTGGAAATGTAGTAACTTTGGTTTTATTATAGCTTTTAAGCTGATTTTTTCACACAACACACATAATAGAGTAATTCATGCAATAAACCAAAAGTTTTATTTAAATATTTTATATTGTCTGTGATTAGCTTGTCTAAAGTTCAATTTTATGTTGAAAAATATTGTTGATTTTTTAAAAACTCAAGCAGACATCCTTCCCGAAATAATTTCACTTTTTTTTTGGTTTATAGCATGCTTCCAATGTAAATACATGTTAGAAAGTTTCATTGAAAAATAGTTTACCAACCCAATGGAATTAGCTTTCCAAATTTCAAGAATTTATGATTTTCGCCATTTAGAATGTGTAACCATGGCACCAGCAGACATTTTTAAAAAATGAAAATATATTTTTTAAACACTATTGTATTATGCTTTCCAATGAATACCCTAAAAATCTTTTGAACTCGATAGTTGTTGAAATATTTTGAGGGGGTGAGCCCTCTTAAGAGCCGCAGCCATTTTAACAGTTTTTCTTTCTTTCAAATGCGTACCTAAATATTGCGCTTTTTACTAGTATCTAGACGACCGTGATTTGGGCGTAATCAAGAAGTAAAATTTTTATTTTCTTATTAGAGACCGTCCTGGTTAAACAATAGGACGGTTTCTATATACACCAAAACTTTGGCCTTAATTATCCGGTTATAGGGACCATAAAAATCTGGGAACTTTTTTTTTAGTATTTAGTTTTAAGAAAACTTTTTTCGAAATTTAGTCATTGTGTTAACAAACGTCTTTTTTTTTTCGTTTAAAAAAATTTAATTATTTGAAAATAATTTAATTTTTTTAAACGAAAATTTAATTATTTTCAAATATGGCCGACATATTCTTAAGCTACATACACCGCTAAAATGCACAACTAAAATTGAAATAAACATTGAAATGTATTCACAAAATTACTACAGTTTAGTGTGACTTGCTTTCTCTTAAACTGGATAACCGTCTTCTCTTCATGTGCTCTGAATGTCTTTTTTCTTTTGCTTCTTTATGACGTTTGGCAAGAAGAGTTGCATATGTAGCTGCCTCCTGCTTGGCATGAGCTGCACGAGAACGTTTAAGTGCCATTACATGTCTTTTTCTTTGAAGTCGCTGGGGTGTTACTAGACGCTGGATCTTTGCTCTTTTAAATTTTTTAACCTTGGGAGCAGGTTTACCCTCTTTAGGTTTAATCTCACGTTCAACAACATATTTTCGAACATCATCTTCTTTAGCTAAGTTAAACAATTTTCTTATTTTATTAGCTCTCTTTGGGCCTAATCTTTTAGGGACCACACGATCAGTAAGCCCAGGAATATCATTATCTCCTTTCTTTACAATAACTAGATTCAGCACACTTAAATTACTGTCAACAATGCAACCACGTACTGATTTTCTTTTGCGTTCACCTGTTCGACGTGAACGGTAGCAAGAGTGACCTTTACTTAGAAGAAGTCTAACACGACCATTTGTCATCACACCTTGCTTCATTGGAAAACCTTGCTTGTCATTACCACCAGATATACGAACAATGTAGTTCTGAAAGATAATTTAAAGAGTTTTATAACAGATTGAAAAAAATTATAGTTTTTACTTCATAGTGAATCACAACAATAAGACTAGTAAAAAAGCTACACTACAATTGCCAACATTAGTTAAACAATAAAAGCATACTTGTAGCACTATGTATGCATTGCATTTTATTAGGGAACAAAATTTGGTTGAAATGAACTTTCAGAATTATTTTATTTTTTTATAAACTTTATGAACAAGAAAAGATAAATTTCGAGTAAATTAGTGCTACTGCATTTTGTATGTTAAACAATAGAGAATTTTATCTTTTAAAGAATTACAGTTGAACTTTTAACTCCAGTAATTTGATTATTTTAATTGAACAAATTTGCTGGAACTACTTAGTTTTAATAAAGGATAGTACTACTTAGTTTTAACTAAGGATTGAATGCTTTATAGTTTAGAAACTCCTATAATTCAAACATAATTTCAGACTATTAAAAATTGGGATTACAAAAGTTTAAACTGTACTTTACACTACTCTTAATTAGAATAAAATTCCTTTACAATGAATTAAAAAGTAAAATATACTAACAACTAAATGTACTTTATCAAAATTTGCTTTACTTTCCTTAATGCAAGCAATTATACTTTAAAAAAATAGAAATTAAATCTCATGAATAAATAAAGTTTTATCTTAATGCGAATTAAAGAAAAATATCACCTTTTTTCATTAAATCTTTTAAAACATTAAACTTTACAACAACTTTATAATTTAAAACTTTATAACAAGTTGCATATTGCATATGACATAAGAACACATATATGAAAATAAGGCTTCATTAAAAGGTATTATATATCCTTATAGTCTACACAATAAGGATAGATAATACTTTGGTACATATAACAAAAGCATAATATTTGGTATGCAAAAACTGGATCCAATGTATATGCTAAAAAACTGAAGACACATATGTGGACTCTCTTTTTTAGTGGCATCAGACAATGTGTTTTTGTTTTGTTCCTTATTTAAACAACAAAAACCTAGATTATTTTTAAATCAAAGAAAAGTTTGCCTGAACTTACATGTATAATTTTCAACTTAATTATTGATTTCATTGTTAATGAAAATTTTGATGTTGTTCTCATGGAAAAATGTTGTCAAATAAAAGTTCCATTATTTTTGTAAAACTTATTAAATTTTTACCACTAATTTTTAATTTATCTGCCAAATTTCATCACAAGATAAGGTGTTTATGAATTCAGTAACTTTGGATATTAAAGTGGTTAAAAAAAAACTAAATATATGAATATTTATTTTTATTTTTAAGCTGTGTTGCGCCATTACTGCCAAGAACACCTTAACTTAAGTTAATCTCTTATTGCTTGATTATTACTTGATGGTGGTCTGCAAGCAAATTTTAATAACTATACATGGTGGGCACAAAATTTTAAAAGTTAAATTCCAGGACATTTTGTTGCGTTTTCCAGGACATTTTATATCTTATTAAATGAATATTATCAATTATTATTATATTATATTTTTTCATATTGAATAAATTATAGAATAGAATATTATTACTCTCTTATTTAAAATTTAATTCAAACCATTTATATAAAAAAATTTTTGCAAGAAAAATTTAATATTACTTCAATATTATTAGTAGGTTTTTAATTTAGATCAGAAAAAAAAAATTCCAGGACATTTTAGGACTGTGGCCACCATGTTCATAATATGTATAAAAATTATTTTATTTCAAAAAATTCACTTTTATGAAAATAAAATTTTATTTATTAAATGAAAATAAATTCTATTTATTTAGTGCAGCGATGGTGGTTCATTACATCCTACCTTAAAGTACACTCTGTCTGGAGACAAAATTAAATTTGCAGCTCACTCATACAGCTATCTTTTGATATCAAGTTACTGATATTTATATAATAATTGACAGTTATATATATTGAGACATAAGAATAAAAGTTATAATATTTTGAGCAAAAGAAAATAATTTATGACCAGATTAACAAACCCATATCAAAAATACGTGACTAAAATCGTCATGTTTTTGTTTTTTAATTATTTTATTATTTATTAGTTATATTATTTAATCACTTAATTGTCATAATTATTTCTACCTTTAAAATATTGAATTTTAAATAATAACATTTTTGTATTTGATCAATTAACAATAAAGCAGTAAATGTACCCAATTATAAACATAAAAATGAGTTTATATAATGAAGTATGTATACTTTTGAAATACAGCCTAATTTATAATTATAATAAATTTATTAAATTGTTCAATTTATAATTAAAATGTTGAATTTATAAGAATACCTTCCATTCTTCACCGAGGCACTCAGCACTACATTCTTGTGCCATGCGTTTATCATTGAAAGATCGAAGTTTAATTTCATCTTCTATCTCAATAAGTTTTTGTGCTCCGGTAGCAGGGTATGACACGTTCAACTAAACGAAAACATAAATACTTGGTTCAATTTTGATGGTTATCAAATTTCATATAAGGTATACAACATATATCGTTTTAAACGCCTATGTAATATCTCTCGATATCTTGATCATCCTTAGGGTATGTATCAATTAAATCACAATTTTAAGAAAATCACTACAATGCTTATCATACAGTTTAAGTTTTCATCGCATTGTTTTATGAAACGTCCGGAAATACCTTCATTTTCAGCAATAAGTTTTACTGTAGAAGAATTCACCACTTTAAAAGGCCATTATTTAGATCGAAAAGAAAATGGCGTAACGTGAGTATAACTTACCGAATGTTTTTATTTTGCAGAATAAAAACAAAGTAGATTTCTAATTTCTAAATTTCTAAAAATTTCTAAAAAATTTCTAAAAAAAAAACGAAATTCCAAAAAAAAAAAAACGAATTATTTTTTGAGACTAAACAGCTCGACAATAGGTTGACAAAACACAAAAACCACAATAAGCTAAATTCTTTTATTTTAGACATTTTAAAGTAGAGTAATTTCGCTAATTGCAGGCCATTAGCGATACACTGGCAACTCTTTGAACCTTTCTCCACGGAAAACAATGGCACTAGTTGCCTTTCAGCAGTATTTAAAATGGTGAATCTTATTTACTTAATGACTATAACCAATAAATGGTATTATATGGACAAAAATTGCGATTAAAGTATTTAATTCAAGAACTTTATTAAAAATTCTAAAACGACATCCCAAGCGACATCCCAATATTACTTAAATTTACTTAATTATACATAAATGAAAGTTTTAAATGTTGCATAAAAGGTAAAAAAAAAAAAAAAATAAAACTAATGAATGTATATATATATATATATATATATATATATATATATATATATATATATATATATATATATATATATATATATATATATATATATATATATATATATATATATATATATATATATATATATATATATATATATATATATATATATATTTCTTGAATTATTTTATTCACATATGTTTGTAGATTTGTTGCTATAGTTGCATTTCTTTTTTAGTAGAAAACAGTATTAAATATGAAAAGACAAACAGGTAAAAAAAATTTTTTAAAATCTAAAAGCAAATGTTGTCATTAAAACAACTTCAAGGATAATAAAAAAACGCAAGTAATGGACAGAATATAATATGAAACTATCAATACATGCAGTTCTAAGTGGTACATCTCATCGAAAAGCAAGTTCAACTTATAAAGTACCACTATCGCCTCAAAAGACTATAATCTATGGAAAGTCTAAAATAGAAGCAAAACCAAGACAAAAGCCAATTCTAAGTGATCTTGAAAAAAACTAATTGATTATGCTGGTAATCGTGTCTAAATGGTAATCAGTTTTGTTAAAAAAACATTTATTGATTATGCTGCTAAGTTGGCAAATGAAAAAAAAAAAATTTTAAATAGTAAACCTGGTGAAAAGTGGTGGCAAGTACAAAAAAAGAGACATGGTTGTGTGAGTCTGTAACACAACTTTTAAAATGCAAACACAAAATAAAGTTCTGAAATTATTAAGAAAAGGTGGAAAGCTAAGACCAAAGAGTTTAAAGCCAATGCCAAGGTCAACAGTTTCAAGGTCAAGCCCAAGGCCAAGGTCTTAATTTTCAGGCCAAGGCCAAGGACGTCATTGCAATCTTTTCATAGAGCCCTTATAAATACTTTCAATAGAATATAGATATTATATTAGTAACCCTCATGGGCATAAAACTGCTGCTCTGATCAGTAAATTAAGATAAAAAAAAACTGAAAAAAACAGAATCAAATAACTTCAGAGTTACTCAAGCACAAATTAATCTCAAATTTTAGAAATTTCTTTTTTGACTTGAAACTTAAATGAATTTATTGACTTTGCCATATATTTAAATACTTTTTGATAAATATTACATCTATTTGTTCCTCGATATGCAATACTATATTCAGAATATTTAATAAAGTTTTGAGGCAGTTTATGTGTGTTATTTATATTTACTCTTAGATAATAGTTTTCATTTGTATTTATTTCAAACTTGTTAATAAGGTTTTCAGGAGAGAGAATATTGTTGAATCGATTCATAAACTGATACTTGTTGTTATTAAGTTAATAAAAGCGAAAGCTCATATAACAGAGCACCTCAAAAATAAAAAAAATGAAACCGACAAAACATAAAACCATTTTTTTTGAAATCATGTGAGAGCTGTTTTTAACCACTTTAATATACATTAAGTTTTAGTATTAAATAAATAAATTAAATCTTTTTTTGATTTCAACAATTGTTTCCCGATTAGGGATCGTCCATAAAGTACGTGCGCTCGGAGAGGAAGAGGAGGTTTGCAAATGACGTTTCTGAGATAAGGGGGCAGTAGATCAATTATAAAAGTATGGTGGCACTAAATTTAAAAAAATATCATAAAATGTTGGGTTAGTAAGTAAAAAGCATAGGTAATTTTAGGGAGGTAAAGAGTACTCAAAAAAGCGTACGGGAAATTGCGGGGGGGGGGGGGGTCAGCGAAAAAAAAGCGTACGTACTTTATGGACGACCCCTTACGCAATTGCTTTCCTATGTTAACGTTGCTCAAGTTTATTATTTAATATTTATTCATTAAATGACATTTTAAAAAGTTTATTTTATGAAAGTCTTGGTTTATTTATAAAATTTAACAGATGAAACTTATCAATATAATAATTAGTATTTTAGTTACTTAGTTTATTATACGTGTTTGATTCATAAAACGTAATTATATTTTTATCTTAAAGTCAGGGTAGTAAAGTTTGATTGGTAATTTTAAGTCACAGCTACGAATATTATTGGTTGATTTAAAAGTTTTATTTGTACAAACTTAAAAAAAATTACAATTTCACATTGTATGCTTAGCATTATGGCATTTCAATGATTTAACTTCCACGGTGATCAGGGATCGAGTCATTCACACGGAAAAGTTTTTTAAATGTTTTTAACTATTTTTATTGAAAGTTATTATTATTGTTGTATAATGAAATATATTGATTTTTATTATTTACATACATCGACTGATATAGGGATATGAGCAGTGAGTGTACATACATCCATCAGGGTTAGGGTTATGGGTTAGGGTTAGGGTTGAGTGAGTGTACATACATCAACTGATTTAGGGATAAGCGCAGTGAGTATACATACATCAATTAAGGGTTTTGGTTTGGGCATGCATCTTTTATATATAAAAAAAGAAATGAACCAATCAGAAATCATAACAGTGACTTGAAGAAAAAATATATAACGACGATAACGTTGCACTAGTATAAAACGGATGGAAATTCATCGAACCGCAAACATCAAAGCAATTTCAAGTCGTCTCGGGAGTATGCTTGTAACCGACGAAAAAAATACAAGTTTCACTCGACAAAATACAACAAAATTTACTGAAATAATTTTTATTAAAACATTAAAAAATGAATTGTTCAAGGAATATGCTGCAAAGTTTTACCATTAGTAGTTGCAATTATTCAGCAAAAGGTTTAATAAAACTTGGTAATTAAATAGAACCACTTGATTTTAAAAGCATATGTTAGTTTAAGCTTCTTTTCTTGCTTCAAGTCATAACACGACATTTGATTAAAAAGACAACTAAAACAATTTTTAAAAAATCAAAAAAATTGTTTTCTAAATAACTAAAGTTTAAAGTTTCATTAGCTGTATATCATAATTTCATTCATTCATGTAGTATTCCATTCATTTAATATGAAGTTTATAAAAAAGTTGTTGTTTACCATTTCGTTGCGCAATTTTTAATGTTTTTTTTGAATATTATTGGCGAACTCTATACTTTTAAATTATTGTTAACCTATTTGCGTTAACGTATAAAGGCGCATTCGTTTTTTTTTACGGGAACGGGAAAGGGACGGTAAAAATAATCACGTGGGCATGCGTAGTATAAGTTTTAATATGTCCGAAGGAAAACTACGCATGCTCACGTGATTATTTTTCCCTTTCCTATCCCGTTCCCGTGAAAAAACGGATGAGTGGAAACTCACCTTTAAGATTAGGCGTTCAAGTACAGTCTTGATGTCGCTTTCTAATTGTTTACGAAACAAAAGGTTACAAGCATAGTCCCGAAGAAGTTGCACTTCCATCTGTTTTATATTTCAATGGCTAGATAGCGATATTTATTATGCCGCGTTTCATAAGTTTTTTTTCGTTAGGAACTGTTTCGCAAGTAGTGGTGCGAAATAGTGATGTTACGAAAGAAATTTGGTTTTTTATTATTATTTTAAAAGATATTTTAAAAGACCTTTTAAAAGATATTTAAAAGACCTTGAATTATTAATTTTTTGCGATACTGAAAATAAAAATTTATTTTAAACATTTTGGTATATAGAAATTTTATTTTTAAGGAATATAGGTTATCCGTTTGGCCAACGAACTTTCTTTATAGTCTTCAAAACGTCGTTTAGTGAAAGAGGTCTTTTCGCAAGTGTGACTTCCTTAAGCGATACTTATTCGTATGAAGCAAAATAGATTTATTTTGTAATTCAACTTGCGAAAGACTACATTTCTTAAATAGCGTTTGCGAAATGAACATTAACAGTTTTTTTTTCTTTAAATTTAGTACAAAAAAAAAAGTCCTGATTCTCACATCCTTCCGAATTTTATTTTTCCGAAATTGCACAAAATCTTCCGGTTAACAACTTTAAATTACCGAGAAATTAATTATTTGATAAAATTCATATTCATTGACGTTCAAATATTTAATTAATGCAACTCTCATGACGATATCTTGTATACATAAAGATGTCGTCATTTAAATTTATATATATATATATATATATATATATATATATATATATATATATATATATATATATATATATATATATATATATATATATATATATATATATATATATATATATATATATATATATATATATATATATATATATATATATATATATACTAGGGTGATGCAAAAAACAACTTTTTTAAAAATAGTCTCCTGCTCTTAACTAAATGTGTTCTATATAATACAAAAACCCTTTATAAAGTTTAAAGTTTTTTTTAATAAAAAATATTTTTAGGGGTGTCTCAAGACCCTTTAATATTTGACAGGTCCCTAAATTTTGAAAAAAAAAGCGAAATTATATAAAAACTTCAAAAATAATGATCAATTTACATAAAAATATTTTTTTTAGATATATTGCCTAAAAACTATTGTTTTTAAGGTGATTATGAAAGTCTATATTTTCAAGTTTTTTTAAAATAAATTATTAAAACATGTTTTTTATGTAAATTGATTATTATTTTTCAAGTTTTATAAAATTTCGCTTCTTTTGAGTA